GAAGGAAGGAAGGAAGGAAGGAAGGAAGGAAGGAAGGAAGGAAGGAAGGAAAGGAGGGTCTGTTTTGCATGTTTTCTCCAAGTTTTTACATTAAAAAAGCAAACAAAGAAAACTGTTGGAATGCAAAGTATAAGAGATGGGATTTTGCAAGATGACTGCACTGGTGGATCTCTGGATCAGTTACATTGTTTAAAACATGAAGATGAAGTCTGGGATGTTTGAACGTAGATGTCCCATGAGGCATCCAAGTATATAAGAAGCCAGACTATGAAATTAATTGATTCAGCTGCAGAATTACAAAATAACTAAATGCTGGCAATTGGCAGTAATAGTAAGAAAATCATTTGGGATTTATAAAAGTATAACAATGAAAACAACAATAATGTCTTTAAAAGTGAGATATAAGACATCTCCTTGGTAAAATCTGCACTATTTGGCAATTAGGCCCTCAGTTCCCCTGTGCTGTGAGGATGTTTAGAAGACTCTTGGCAAGGATTTTTCACAGATGTAGTAGCATAAGAATGTGCAGTAAACATCATTCCATTCTCCATTGCCCCAGAGATGCGCACAGTCCTCATTCCTGCCGTCATTATTAGGTTCCCCTCGCTTCCAATACCTGAGATTAAAATAAAATAGTGTTTTAAACAATAGTCCATAAAAGTCTACAAAAGCTTGAACAGTAATGAATTTTTTAGTCTTTAATGTGCCAGAAGATTATTTTGCACTTTTGGAAGTATGATCAGACAACTCCTAACAACCTTTGTGTGGTTAAAAAGCAGCTAAACAGATGTGGAAATGGAGATGCAGACTAAGACTTTGGTGGAAGAAGTGTGTGTCGAATAGCCTTTTCCTCCATCTGCTCCCTTCCTTGTTGCAGAGGCAGAATTATATTGTTTAGTCCCTGTTTGATCAGGAGAGCAGTGCAGGGGAAAATAAATTCACCTATGTCTTGTCTTGTTTTCCTGCTGGAAATTTCTTCTCTTATGTGCTATTAGCACCTCTGCAGGAAATGTTCAGCCAGACAAGGACAGAGAAAGAAGAGGTCATTTCTTATGTGGATCCTGTCTGGATTGGTGTACCAATTGCTGTTTTGATTCTTTTTTTAATGGAATGTTTCAGATATATATTTATAATAATATAGAATTTGATCTTTTACAACAGAGGAACATAATCTGAAGCTCCAGAGCTGCATGTCCCATCTTCCGAAAGGTTTTGGTACAGTCCCAGAGACCTCTAGAAATTATCACTAAATTGTAATTGTTAATTTGAAAGAAAGGGAGAATCATTAAACACATGAATTGACAACAATCATCTTAGCAATATTTTCTTTTAACAAAACGTAAATGAAATCAAATCAAATGTAAGTTTTTTTCCCTGCCTTATCTGCTCTCCCTAGCAACATCCTAAGGTCTGGATGGGGAGCAATGGGTTGAAACTGAACCCTGGCAAGACCGAATGGCTCTGGGCTTGGGGTTCTTTGGTTCATGGAGAATTGCCACCTCTGGACTTGGATGGGGTTGCACTGCCCCAGACGGATGCGGTGCGTAATCTGGAGGTTCTCCTGGACCTGAGACTCCTGCTCGAGGAGCAAGCGGCAGTCATGGCTGGGAGGGCTTTTGTGCAACTGTGGGTTGTGCACCAGTTACACCCTTTCCTGGACTAACAGTCCCTGCTCACAGTCACCCATGCCCTAGTCATCTCCCATCTTGACTACTGTAATGTGCTCTACATGAGGCTGCCCTTGAAAAGGATCTGGAAGCTTCAGTTGGTTCAAAATGTGGCAGCCTGCATGGTTTTGTGCAAGTCTAGATTTGCACATGTGTCACCTCTCTTGCAGGAGCTGCATTGGTTACTGATTTGCTTCCGGGTCTAATTCAAGGTGCTGGTTATCACCTTTAAAGCCCTACATGGCCTAGGGCCAGGTTATTTGCAGGACCGTCTTTTCCCAGTTTCATCTATCTGACTCACCAGATCGGGGAGGCAGGGTATATTATGGGTCCCCCCACCATTAAGGAGGTCCATCTAGTGGGACCAAGAAGAAGGACCTTCTCCATGGTGGCTTCCTTCCTGTGTAACATCATCCCTTGGAGATAAGCCTGGCCCCCACCTTGATACTCTTCTGAAAGGCCCTGAAGACATGGTTTTGCCAGCGGGCCTGGGGATCCCAGGTTGATATGGAGCCCAGGTTTGTTTGAATGTATTGTTGTCGCCAGGGGGGTGGAGGTGTAGTAGGTTTGTATTTGGGGTTTTATTTCTGTAAGCTGCCTGGAGTCACCATGAGTGAGCTGGGCAGCCATATAAATTGCTTAAACAAACAAACAAATAAATAAATAAAATAAAATAAACAGAACTGGAGAACAGGCAAGGAACAATTCTGAGTTCAGATTAATAACATTTCTTAGGATAAAGGTTGAAGTGAGAACACAAGAATTTCAGCAAGTAACTTTGCTTTGAAATGTGGAACCTATATATAGGCAGTTCAAAACATTAGATTCTGCCTTTCTTCCTGTGTTTTGGTGTAACAAGCAGATCTTCTCAAGACATTTGCACCTGGGGTTTGTTTCTGTAATGGTTACTAGTCACATTATCAGAATGAGAAGCCTGTCTTACCTAACCCAATCTACTAACAGGCCATTCAAAGCAATGTGTGGCTTTTGACATGGAAAAGGTATATTCCTGCTTTAGAAGAAGCTTTTGAGAGATGATATTAGGGAAAACATTCTGATTGCCAGTTAGGATCTGAAGATAGGCAGAATGAAATTCAGCATAGTTCAGTGCTTACCTGAATCCATTTCTGTAATTGCTACCATCCACCCATTTCCATTCTCCTTCTACATCTATGTCTGTAAGCCCTATCCAATGACGTTCATTCCTGGCTCGTGTCTGAAGGAAATTCTGCAAAAAAAAAAAAGGGCAGAGAAATAGAGCAAAACGTGTGAAGGTTGAGGTAATGTGGAACCTGTGTCTTGGGCCACTACTATTTTGTTATCAGGGATGCTTGAACATGAATTTGTTTGTAATCAAAATGGCCCTGTCCACAGACATGAGTTAGGTATCAGCAGTCTTTGGGGGAATCCACATTTTGCGCAAGTACACACATGTACACAGAATTTGAGAAGGGGAAAATGGGGGCCTGGAGAACAAGAATTTCCAAAGTAGCCCAATGAAAAGTAAATAACCTTAGAGGCCTAGGAATACAAGCTGACTGGTGGAGGATGGGGAGAAGGAGAATGGAATGGTGCATCCTGGGAGAGGATGCAGCACTTCATAGAACAAAATAGGGCTAGGGAAACTGGCTTGATTTGCATTGCTGAACAGTCCCAGGCAGGTTGTCAATAGTCAGAGATGGTGGGAATCATAGTTCGGCAACAATGGGTTGACCACAAATTCCCCACTCTTGCTTAAACATTGTCTGACTACCTTGGCTGCTGCATAAGCTGCTGCTTTGATGAGAACAGATAAAGCAAAGGGAGCCAGAGTGGGAATCTGCAGGTGAAAAGGTGGAGTATAGAGTACAGCTAGTCCTTGTTTAGCGACCACAATTGGGACTGGCAACTCAGTCATTAAGCGAAGTGGTCGCTAAATGAAACTGTGGCTATGCTTATGATCTTACTTCAGCTTTCCTTTGCTTTACAGACCTGCGAAGGTCGTAAATGTGAGGATTGGTTGTAAAGTTACTTTTTCATCACTGTTGTAACTGTGAACGGTCGTTAAACGAGGCAGTTGTTAAACAAGGACTACCTGTAAGTCTCTCTGGTTCCTAGCACTCAGGTGAGGTGATCACCTCCTGAGAGCACAGATAAGACAGTGATTGGTTACAGCAAACATTCATGCTGAAAGTACCTAGGGAATTTGTTGACATAGGAGGAGAGCTGTGTTACAATCTATGGTGGCAAAAAATCAGGAATCTGGTAGCACCTTTTCTGACGAAAGGCTGCAGTTCACTTCATGAAATGCATAGGTGAGCCTAGCTTAGACCAGCATGGGTAGAATACAGAGCTTTGGATAGAAGATGCTAGGTTGTAATAGTCCATGTTGTGCCATTAGGATTAATTTCCTAAAATGAATTCATCATCAAGCTCAAAGGCAGTAAGAGGCAGTTGCAAATGTGATGAGCTTTTAGGACTGTAATTTCTAAGATCAGTCTAGGAGGTATCTGTATAAAGGGAATCATGGGTAATGGTAAAGGACAGACTTTCAAGAAAGTCCATCCATATTTTATAATTTATTTACTTACTTACAGGGCTTGAAATACACTCCAATCAGCTGATACTATACCATGTATAACTTCCTACATATGTGATTTGGGATTAATAACAAACATATACAGATCATCTTTTCTCACGGAGGATACGTCTACACAGGGTTTTTGCACACTTCAGAATCAAATTTGGGGGTGGGGGGGCTGTTTTTACACCATTCTTAGCTAAGCTGATTTCTGACCCAGCTGCAGTGAAATCAGAAATTCTGGGAATTGAAGTCCACACATCTTCAAGTTGCCAAGGTTGAACAACACTGCCTTAAAGAGAAAAAATAGCTGGAGGGTTTCACTCCCCAGCAAATTCTCTCTCTCTCTCTCTTGCATATGAATGAACGCATAACGCTGCCAACTCCACTTTAAAATGCAGCTGGGATTGATCTCTACCGACTATTTGCCCAGCCTTGGAATTGTTCTCTAGGTGAAGCAAGCAGGGGTGAACTTGGCAAGCATTTTATTTCCTCCTGCTTTTAGGCAGGGGAAGAGAGCTGAAGGGGCCAAGGCAGGAAGGAAAGAGCCACAGATCAGACCAAACAGGGTGCATCCCAGTTTGGAAAAAGAGCAGCAAACAGACCAATCCCACGGAACGGTAGGAGAAAGCAAACCAGGATTTAAATCTTGTACCTGACACATTCATATATATGGGGAGGGGGGCTGGATTCCTTATTCTGTAGTTGCTGATCTCTGGTATGGATGTGACCAGAGGTGTCCACAGGATCCATCACTTTCATTCAATGACAAAAGTCACATAGTACCATTGCAGTGCAAGTCCTTCCCCTTTTGTACACCACATAAAAAAGGGATGAAGTTTGCATCATGTCAGCCCAACACTGCTTTTGTTATTTGTCCCCCTCCCACCCTTCCTGTGGATGCTGCTATTTATAACTTCCAGTTTGCAATAAACCACACCAAGTCTTTGAGGGTCCTGCTGTTATCTGGTTACCGAGAGGGTGTGCGGAGATGGTGGTAGGGTGCCTGAAGACACATGAATCCAGCCATATCTGCATGAAGTCTGAAGAAGGAGATCTTGGTGTATAAAGTGCCAAGGTGCTTGTTGGTGCCTCAGTACTCTTTTTACTCCCTCTCGATAAAGTATCTTTTTTCTTGTGCTTTCCTATAGGCATTGTTTAGAACGTAATTCCCCCTTTCCCTAATGCTAATGCTGATCTTAATCCTAATTTCATCATGTAGCCATGTTTATAGCTACTCGAGAAAGTTCCCCAATGTAAAATTGCCCGCATCTTATTTTTTCACCATCACAGCTAGTAAGAGGCTTTTAAGTACGGCAGAGGAACGGTGCTAGGCATCTTTGCAGTTACCCCTTATAGTAACTGCTCAGTTTTTTCCCCAAGGAAATGCATGCATCATATTCTAAAAAGCTGGATGAAGAAGATGTGCTAACATTTTATTTACTTTGTTGCATGGGATGGGGGTGGTGTGAAGGGATTTTAATACTCCAGGATGTGCAGTAGCTTGTGACAGGGCATGGATTGAATGATATTTTTTTGTATCCCTGATTGGTCAATCTGAGAGAGACCAATGGTGTTCAGTCCCTGTTCTCTGTGTTTTGAAGTTGGAGAAGTGAAGGTACAGCATGTCAATTTTAAACCAGTTAATGAGACACTGGGGAGTGGAAATGGTATGGTGTGGACATGAACTGTAGAAAACATTGATTGGATTCATGTACAGTGTTAGACAGGATGTGGTTTATTTGGTTTGGCTTAGCCTGCCATGTGAGTCCAGCCATAAACCATAGCTTATTAGTAAGTTTATTGTGCAAATCCAGGGTTAGGGTCATTGTCTGGATTTGCACAATAAACTTCTCAACCTTTCATATTCTCCCTACCTCATAGTTATGAGCCCTGTCTGCTCTCTAAGAAAGCAACCACCCTCCCCTCTTTTTACCTGTTCAGCCATATTATTGATGACAACCAGTTGTGCACGATTATCCCTACATTGATCATTGGCCCATCTCCAGGTACCCTTCTTCAGAGAGAAGTAATAACACTTCTCATTAAAGTACTCCCACTGTGTGTGGTTAGGGCCACACGGGAACACTGGTTAAATGAAAAGAGATGATGTTAGCCCAAATTGGAAAGTTAGTTCTCTGATTTGTTTAACATATGATTCCCATGACTTTTGGTTAAATTAACTGCAATTTCTATAAACTAAAGTTGTTGTCAGAATCCTTCCCCTCTCCATTTTCGAGTCAGAATTCCAGGTTTTCATTGGGCAGATCTAACCAACCAAGCACTTAATGCCAGAACTAGTTTGAAACTTTTGGGGCAGAAGGGCAGGATATCTATAAAACGAAGGAAAAAATGAAGGAAGCAGAGCTTGGGGGATCTTGCCAAGCGATGAAAGACCTGGAGACATCAGACTTGTTAGGTTTCTAATTAGGCTGCCAGTTTCTGAGAGTCATGGCAAAATAAATTCCTAACACACCACAAGCTGAAATCGCAAACTGCTGACCGATTAGAAACGAGCCGAGTTTGTTTAATCCACTAGGTGGCTGACTGGCACCGCATTGAAAGAAAACATTGGTTAATTTCATAAAATCTTTCTACAGAATGTGAGAAAATCCCTTTACAAGTAATCCACAAAATCTTACATCCTCCTTCAGGAATGGTTCTTTTATTTTTAATTACTATCACCAATGGTTCAATCTTATAGGTATGGAATGGATGGGAAAGATGATAAGTTGCTGATGACTACCCAAGGTCCTTGTGGCTGATGGCCAAACCCATTTCATATTAAATGTACATTTTAAACATACTTCATCTGACTAATTTCTTTTCTAAGGGGGAAAAACACAAAAAACAAAACAGACCAGGATTATGCCTTTGTCTCAGATCTTGGACTGAACGCCAGTTTCCTATGAAAAATCCTTCTCTATGGAAAATCTACCCTGTCCCTGACATTTTGGCATCTTGAGGGATTGACTTTGTGGGTCAGGATTTGGGCAGAAAACAACACAGGATCTAGATCTGGGCCTAAGGTGCCTTTTCCTGCAAATCATAGTAATCAAGGTGTGCAATTTGGCTCCCAAGAATTAAAGTCCAGATTGCTGCTCATTCTCCATTTGTTGATCTGCACTGGGTGGTCTGTGAATGAGTGGCTTTTAGAAATGAACAACAGACTCATGGAAGACAGGTCTATTAAAGATTATTGGTCTTTAATTTTAAAATGGTTTAAAAATGGAAGATGGTTTTTATGTTTTTTATGCTATTGTTTGTTTGTGTTTGTTGTAAAAAAAATAAAAGATTTATAAAAAAAAAAA